GAGTTAGTTCAACTTCCAGAATCGTGTAAAGGTACACAGAAATCCCAAGATTTGCCTTGATTATTGTTCTTTCTTTGTCCGCACCTTGTCAATGCTCAACAGGGTTTACCAATGTAGTAAAAACCTGTAACACCTGTTAATAATAATAATAATAATAGTCCATTTATGTTGAGCGTTTATCCATGCACATTGCATGCTCAAAGCGCTGACATATTACCCCTGGTCAACGAGTACAGAACACTCCATGTGGAGAATACAACCGGTCGCCTGTCAGGTGCTCAAGGTTCAAATTCAGACTACTATCGTAACATACCAGGTACCCAATTTTACTGCTGGGTGGACAGAGGCAGGTTTGAACAAACTCACTTGCCTAAGGTGAGTCTACATGCGTCACATGTGCTTCGTTGTGGGGCAGGACTGAAACTCTCAGGAGTCAAGCTGCCAAACATGGTCACCCATCCGAGGACTGTCTGCGACCAACGTTGCTTAACTTCAACTGATTATGACCTAAGCTCTACGCACAGGACCACACACCGCCACAACCGGAAAGTACCCTTTCTGTGACAGCAGCCTATCAGAGTACTGATGGGATTCAGCCCCAGAATTCATCATCTCTTATGATGGTCCCATCTGATCAGGGCCTAGATTTTCGAAGCTCTCTTAACACTAAAATAGTTGTAAGTGCCATACATTAACATTAACTTACGACTATCTTAGCGCTAAGAGAGCTTCGAAAATCTAGGCCCAGGAATTTAAAATGGCCTGAAAGGCGGCCATATTGAAAATGTCAGTTTTGTAGATTCTAATTCTTTTTTGTGCTAAGACCTGTCCAGGTTTTTGTCTGTTATCAGTTGAGATAGTTATAAAATAAGAACATGTCTAAATGTTATGTCGATAAGATGTTAATTTCCTCTGAAAAAACTTTTTGTTCAAAGTTAGCAGTCAAAGACAATATTATTTCATGCAGTTGTTCTGTCTGACACTTCTAATTGTGTATGATACCTTGAAATGTTCAGTGGCTGGAATCGAACCTCATGCTTTCAGTCGCTGGTTTGTCTGGTCCAGACTGTGTTGTCCTGATATGTCTGAAACCCTGCTCCACTCAGTGAGAAACATCTACACACACATCATCAATACTTCACACTTTTATATGGACAAACTGCATTCCTCCATAATTACATCCATCCAGCATGCAGGCTTGCAGTCATGTCTCTGTAGTGTCAAGCAGTGAAATTGTGTATATTCCTGATGGTGAAATTGTTAAATGTGTCGACTCTTACTGTTACCTGATAAAGAATTAATGTGCTGGGGTCCCTTGCAGGTGTCCCTCTCGCTTGGGTCCTTCTTGCTGGTGCCCCTCTTGCTGGTGTCCCTCTTGCTGGGGTCACTCTTGTTAGGGTCCCTCTTGATGGTGTCCTTCTTGCAGGTGTCCCTCTTGCTGGGGTCCCTCTTGCAAGGGTCCCTCTTGCAGGGGTCCCTCTTGCTGGGGTCCTTCTTGAAGGGGTCCCTCTCGCTGGGGTCCCTCTCGCTGGGGTCCCTCTTGCTGGTGTCCTCTTACAGGGGTCCATCTCGCTGGTGTCCATCTTTCTAGGGTCCATTTCACTGGGGTCCCTCTTGCAGGTGTCCCTCTCGCTGGGGTCCCTCTTGCAGGTGTCCCTCTCGCTGGGGTCCCTCTTGCAGATGTCCATCTCTGGTGTCCTCTTGCAGGTGTCCCTCTTGCTGGTGTCCTCTTGCAGGTGTCCCTCTTGCTGGTGTCCTCTTGCAGGTGTCCCTCTTGCTGGTGTCCTCTTGCAGGTGTCCTCTTGCTGGTGTCCTCTTGCAGGTGTCCCTCTTGCTGGTGTCCTCTTGCAGGTGTCCCTCTTGCAGGTGTCCTCTTGCTGGTGTCCTCTTGCAGGTGTCCTCTTGCTGGTGTCCTCTTGCAGGTGTCCCTCTTGCTGGTGTCCTCACTGGTGTCGCTCTTGCAGGGGTTCCTCTCGCTGGTGTCCATCTTTCTGGGGTACCTCTTGCAGGTGTCCCTCTTGCTGGGGTCCACACTGGTGTCGCTCTTGCAGGTGTCCCTCTTGCTGGTGTCCCTTGCATGTGTCCCTTTCGCTGAAACCATATCCTAAGCTTTGATTGGATGGTTAGTAACTAGATCTCAGAGCATCATGAAAGATTATGAAACTTCATGAACACTGAAGAGCTGATGTACTACACATAGAACACACAACAGTTCAACATTTCAAGGAGACACGGAAGGTATTATGTAGAATAATGTTAGACACTTTGGAGAATATCATCACTTCAAAACAGCAGGATGTTGAACTTCAGATCAGGATAAAAATACCATGTCGTGTCGCATGGTGAATTAATAGTTACAGGAAAAATGATCTTATACATATTAAATGTACCACAACATCATTGTAGATTCTTTAGAATTCACTCTAGTTTGCTAGCACAAGACCACCATGTGTAGAGGACATGTACAAATTCCTTGATATTCTTCCTCAGGTATTTGATGTTTGAGTTCTGTACTTCTGTTTTGCTTTAGGGGCGGTGGGGTATCCTAATGTTTAAAGCATTCACTTGTCACGCCGAAGACCCGGGTTCGATTCCCCTCATTGATATAATGTGTGAAGCCCAATTCTGGTGTCCCGCCATGATATTGTTGGAATATTGCTAAAAGCGGCATAAAACTAAACTCACTCACTTTCTGTTTTGCTTGAAATTGTAACTGGATAAAACTGAGAAAAATTGAAGCGTAGTAAATAGTGTGTCTCATTCAAGCAGCACTATCAGCAACATCTGAGGACTAGTAAGATAAAGTTTCCACTAGTCCTTGGAACATGACTTTACAAAAAATGATTCCAATGATGCAAGTTGCGTATGTCCACTAGTCATTCTCTTCTGAAACGGGTGAAAGTATGTGATGACTACTTAATGTTTTCCACCAATTTGATAATAATACATTACAGCTCTGGTCTGAGATAAGCTGAGGATCATAAGCTGTGAGTTCACTCTACCGGTGTTGTGACTATCAGCACACAATAGATCTGGCCCACATTTAGCTGGGACCAGGAAGTAATGTTCCTGCCCCTGGTAGTGTCAGCATGACTACATGCTGTAGATGTCTTCATGGCAGCTTGGTAACATTCTGTTGTTGACAGGTTCCTTCAGGGTAGGTCAGGGTAGGTTTGGGATAGGTCATCGGTTTTGTGTCAGTTAGCAGTGCAGTCGGGGTGTTCGATGAATAACTTTAATGTTTCATATGCCTGTAATATCCCGAGGCCTTAGTAACAGTGTGTTGAATAAACAACATCACAGTGTTGTACATTTGTTGTTTTCATGTTATGTTTATGAACAACATTACTATGTTGCCTGAGTGGGATGTTGTTAACAATATTAACATGCCCTTTGTATAGTGTTGTTTCTTGAACAATATCACAATGTTATACACGTTAATTCCACAGGTGGGGCAGTTGGGTAGCCTAGTGGTTAAAGCGTTCTGTCGTCACCGAAGACTCAGGATTGATTCCCAAAGTGGGTATAATGTGTGAAGGCCATTTCTGGTGTCCCACGCCACAATATTGCTGAAATATTGCTGAAAGCAGCTTAAAACTAAACTCACTCACTATTTCTACAGGCAGCAGTTCTTTAGCTTTGTCTCATGCACTAAAGTGCTGTGTTGCCAAAATGTTATATCAAAATGCTGTTGTCTAGTGTTGTTTCTTGAACAATATCACATTGTTGTACAACTCCAATTCCACAATGGGGCGGAGGGGTAGCCTAGTGGTTAAAGCGTTGGCTCGTCACGCCGAAGACCCGGGTTCGAATCCCCACATGGGTACATTGTGTGAATCCCATTTCTGGTGTCCCCTGCCAAGATGTTGCTGGAATATTGCTAAAAACGGCGTAAAACCAAACTCAGTCAGTCAGTCGGTCCAATTCCACAAGCAGCAGCTGTTATGTTTTATCTGATGGAGAACAATACTATATCATCTTTCTTTCCAACTCTAGGCTGTTGTTGTACACAAGGAAACAAAATAGCATAGTCCATGCAGACAACACAGGATATATGTATGCTGGGGATTGTTAACATCAGTTGTTTATAACTAGCAATTCCTGTTTCCTACTTCAATAACTATGGAAACATTTGAAACCATTACAGGGATGTACCTTGAGTCCTGTTTTGAGGGTCCCTGGGACTCACACTCTTAAATTTCAGGGGTCCTGGACAACAAGATGGGGGTCGAGACACTTAGATAAATATCAATACTGTTATTGTCTTGTGTATCATGATCATCGCATTGTTACAGTAATTGAATTGCAAATGATACCATAACCCAGCTAGTTGCAAACTCAGAGATAACGTATTGTTACTTGACTGGAATTTTTACAGAAAGTATTTGGACTTTTTCTGCGTCCCTGTGGGTGCTCTAATAAATTTTGTTGTGTCCATTGTCAATTTTCATGCGTACAGGAAGCAGGAATTCGCATCCTGTAAATCCCTGCCATTATATTGGATTTAATGCATTCAAAATAAACCAACTGAAGATTCATCATTAAGAGAGAAACAATATGTAGACCAGTTAAGGAGGTCGGATTGGGTATGATTAATATATTTGAATATGTCAAAGCCTTGAAGGGTACTTGGATGAGAAAACTGGTTACTAAAGATCCTAAGTGGAAATATATTTTAAATGCTAGTCATTGTAAATGTAGTGAATTTGATGAGCATGGCAAAGAAGTTTTGAAAAAAAGTGTCAGAAATCTGAAAAATCCCTTCTGGATTGATTGTTTCAATGCTTTTAATGATTTTTCAAGTAAAATTAAACCTGATAATTTTTAATTTTTCTGTCTGATCATATATTTTATAATAGCAATATTGTTATTGATAAAAAAACTATATTTTATGAAGGGTGGTTTCAAAGGGGTATCTTTCAAATTTGTCATCTTGTTGATGAAAATGGCAGTTATCTGTCTTTGGTTGATTTTAATGAAAGGTATCAATCTTTTTTAGAATACTATGGTGTCATTAGCTCTATAAGAAAATATTTTGCTGGCTTGTCAATTGTGAAAGAAAACACTGGACAATGTGCAGGAAATACCCCAATTACTCGGTTGTTACTTTCAATTAATAAAGGCTCCAAAGCATATTACTATATCCTTTGTTCTTCAATAAGGACCGCAAGAGCACAGTTAAAGTGGCAAGAGGATTTTCAGTGTGGTCTTGACTGGAACTGTATTTTCCTAAAGTCGTTTAAAGCAACACAAGACACCAAACTGAGATGGTTCCTGTACAGGATACTCCATAGAATTTTAACTACCAATACATTTCTTAAAAAAGTTAAAATACAAGATTCTGACTGATGTTCATTCTGTAATGAAGAAACGGAATCTATTTGTCACTTGTTTGTGAATTTGTGCAAACCTTTTGGTCAATTTTTTTTATCATGGTTAACAGAAGGTTGTGACCACATCCATGATCTCAATCTCACTATGGAATTGATAATATTTGGCTGTAAGAAAAATGTTTTTAGTGTTTTATTTGACTTGTTCATATTATTGGGAAAATATTATTTGTACAAATGCAAGCTCAATTCTGTTTTACCAAATATTGCTCAGTTCAGACGTGAGTTGAGATTGAGATCAGTATTGAAAAATGTATTTTCTTTATCAAATGCTGTAACGCCGAATTTTATTCGAAATGGCTCTTATATCATGGTTTATTCAAAAAGGACTGAATTAATTATATTATTAATATGTTTGATAATTAAAAAAAATCTTGTACATGTGTGAATGGTGAGTGAATGGATTGTCTTGTTTCGTAAAAAATTCCACGTGTATCTCATTAAATTACTGTATATCTTCAGACTGAGCTGACCGCTTGCTGCTTAGTTTTGACTGTAACAGGGATTCAGAAATAAAATTTAAATTACAAAAAACAACAACTTAACATTCTTCATCTTTCTCTCCTCGTGACAGCGTTTAGTTTATGTAGAATGTGATAAGGAATATTAAACTGACATTATACTAAATTATGTGTCAAAGAATCTGTTTCCTTACAACACTGGCATGAAATGTTCTAAGTTTGTACAAACTACATATATATTTGTTGTAGCTGTGTGTTATGAAAGTTTTCCCGGTGAGGTTTTTCGGGACCGTGAAATCCGTATTCATACTGAATGTCTCACATTAATATCAATATTGTCATACATTTGTTTCCTGGTTTGATGGGGCGGTGGGGTAGCCCAGTGGTTAAAGTGGTTGCTCATCATGCCAAACCTCCGGGTTTAGTTCCCCACATGGGTACAAATTATAATGTGTGAGTCCCATTACTGGTGTCCCCTGCTGTGATATTGCTGGAATATTGCTAAAAGTGACATCAACCCCAACTTACTCACTCCTGGTTTGATTTGTTGATGAAAAACAAATCACGAATCCTGTCAGTTTCCAGGTTGTATATTTTTCAGAATTTATTTAGACTGACATATAGACCAAGAAATAAAGTTATCTTACATTAAAATATTAATTAATCAATTAATTAAATTTCAGCTGAATCAACCTAGACTTTGTAGTAACTCCACACTTTAGTTGGATTCCTTTTGCAGTTTTGCATTAGACAGACTTATGTTTTTATTTGTTGTTACTTTAATCTGGTTTATAACAAACTTTCTCATATTTCCTTTGTCCTTTAAACATTGTAATTCACATCTATTATTAATAGTCAACAGCTTTAGAAACAGCCACTTCTCATTTTATCCAAGACCAGTGATGTGTTCGCTAACTTCCGGATCACATTATTTCATGTTGACATGCCACTAACACAAACATTGCCTACAAGATTTTGATTTTGAAGAAAAGAAGAAATAACTGTAATTTTCAGGGTTTTTTGCAAGACATATTCATTTGCATTCAAATCCTGATGTACTGATAATACCATGCACCCCTAACGTGAGTGTATATATCCATGATGACCTGACAAGACGGTAGGAAACAGGCTGTAGCGCCCTGGTAGATAACGTTGTGTTACTTCACATGAACGATCTTTAGGCCTGATTAGATACAAGCCCTTCTCCCCATGGTTTGGGTCTACACGGAAGTGAATTGCTCCATGTAATG